AAATTTTTGGGTGTTCGTTAGGGATTACTATACTCAGCTCGACGAGCTCTATCGATTGCCTAACTCAGATTTTAATTTGGGGGTGTTCGTGGATGTTCGTGGGTGTTCGCGTCTTTTAGCAATACCCAGATTATGGTGTAAGACTATGGTCAAGATTATTGTGGAAGAACACTCAATGCTATGGCGCAAGAATATATTCAAGGTTATTGCATAGGGCCTAGTCAAGATTGTTCTGCAACACTTCGTATATAAATAAATCAGTTTTACTGTTAAGGAGAATCTTTTTTATTTGTAAATAAACGTTAGACGAGAAAGATCTTAGGCCACCCGGGAACCTAACAAAAAAAATTTCTGAATCTATAAAAATATACGGTAACAATAAAAATAATAATATTAAAAAAAAACTATTACTATTATAGAAACTCCATCTTTCAAAGTATAATAGCAATGAAATTCAATCTATTTATCTAACTTAGTAGAAACCCCTAAAGAATTATTATTTCCACCATCATGAAGAAATAATAAATGCAAAATACTCAAAAATAAGATAATAAAGTAATGAAAAACGAAAAAACGAAATAATAAAAGACCATCAACTCTAGACTTCCCCCCACACTCACTCTACTAGATCCAAACCAATATAAGGAGCAACCATTAACAAATTAGTAATTACAGTAGCTACTCAAAAAGATATTTGACCCCATGGTAATACATAATCTTAAAAGGAAATAGCCATTATTAAAGCAAAAATCGAAACACCTACTTCTTAAACTCTTACAATAAGTATAGACTTAAACCATAACCTACGTTCAATATGAATATAAATAAATATAAACAGTAAACTAGCACCAGTTGAATGAATAAAACGAATTAGATAACCTATTTGAACCTCAATTTCTAAGTAAATAACCGAATAAAAAACATAACTTACACAATCTCTGTAATATAAAGCTAATATTATACCTCTAATTACTCGTACGACTATAGCTATACCTATATAAAACCAAAATTTCAAAATCACAATAGATTAATTGGACTTGAAAGATCAGATAAAAATGAATTTAATATCTTTACTAAATAAATATTCTTATTTAATCACATTATAAAATAAAATACTTAATAACATAAATAAAAACTTTCAACAAATATTTATTAGAATATCATAACGCCTACGAGGAATACTACAACTAAAAAGAAAATAACAAGTACAGGCATTAAAATAAAAACAAAATAAAAAATAAAATAAACTTTCCAATCTTTAAAAGTTAATTTATCCCCATCTAATAAAGGTTGAATTAACCCTAAAAATTCAACTTTATTAGGGCTTTTTCGATTCTGCGCATAATTTAACATCTTTTGTTCAAGCAAAGTTAAAAAACAAACACTTAAATATATAAAAACAATTATAATAAGAACTTGAATTAAAGAACGAATTGAAAATAAACCTAAAGCATCCAAAGCTTCAATTCTTTAAACTCAATTAATAGCAAAATATCTATACTTAGCTCACTACAAGAATGAAAGGATAAAGGAGTGTTTAAGTTGTATTCTTGATCCCAATAACCCCTTAAATTTATTAAAACTAGGAAAGTTTCGTCAAGATTGGATGCACGGTGTCGGAAATAATTTCTGAGGGGGGGAGGGTGGCCCTTAAAGCATAATGCAAATGAGCTACCACATAATAAGTATCATGTATAACAATATCTAAACTAGAGTTAGAAAGCACAATACCAGTTACACCACCTATAATAGAAAGAAAAAGAAAACCTAAAACTCAAAGTAATAAATAATCAAATTTATAAATACCACCTGTCAATGTACTAATTCAACTAAAAATCTTAATATTCCAGTAGGAACAACAATGCTATAGTAGCTGCAGTAAAATAAGCACGTTTATCAACATCTATACCAACAGTAAATATATGATGAACTCAAACAATAAAACCCAATAAACCTATAGAAATTATAGCCTAAACTAAGTAACCCCAAATCTCACCTTTTAAAGAAATTCTAATAACAATTTGAGAAATTATATCAAAACCAGGAACAATCGTTATAGGGATTATGCTAATAGTATATTATTTTGAAACATAGGCCAAAGAATTGAAACCATTTGTTCTACACTAAAACAATTGGATAATGCGAACCTAAAACATCCCAATCTATTAACAGTGATTGATCGTTTTCGCATTCGTGTGAACGAGTGTACTGCATTTGTACAAAATTTTACCAACACATCATCACGGTTTGCCAAAATATTCAATAATGGCACTCACAAAGACTAGTTCGAACGTTTGAACAGGGAACTTACCCAATACACTATCGATCTTCATCTAAATATCGACGTATTTGATAGCAAGCAAGATAAAGCAGATTAACAAACTGACCTGAATCATATTATGTCAGAACTCGATCACATTGCGAAAATGATGGCCAAACAGCAAGAAGTACAGTTACTACACCACCAACAGTTAGAAGATCCAACAATTGGGCGTTTCAGTTCGTTTAAGTTCCATTTACAGTAAAACATATTGAAAGCGAGGAGCGTAGAATAAGCAGACAAGTAATATCAGAGAATCGACAATTTTTGCATATACCATATTACGATGTGTCGATTGAGACTGAAATTGGCAGAGGTGGATTTGAGACGGTTTATCGGGGCAGATGGCTCAGTCGCGATCACGTCGTAGTGATTAAAGTCACAGATATTAATCACATACCTGAGAAGCGTGAACAAAATCTGAAACATGAGATATCAATGATGTACGGCATCCAGTATAAACATATTGTGGGCCTATTGGGTGCATGTGTGGAACCAAATTGTTATGCTTTGATTATAGAATATATGCCATTGGGCTCATTGTATGATGTTCTGCATACGAAAAAGAGAACTCTGACGTGGCCAGATCGATACGCGATTGCGTTACAAATGGTGAAAGGCATTAATCATTTACACCTTTTTCAGCCACCAATTTTGCACTGCGACATCAAATCCATGAACTTTCTCATGGCAGAGGATACGGATGGTTTTCTCGTGAAAGTAGGGACTTCGGTCTAGCTCAGATGCTCGATGAAGGTTTGCGACAGTCAACCGTAATCCACAGACAAGCATCTGTGGGTACAATACAATGGGAAGCACCGGAGCATCTGAAATTTGCTGGACATACAATAAAGAGCGATGTGTACAGTTTAGGCATCGTTTTTTAGGAACTGGCTACGAACCGCTTACCCTACGGAAATGCTGATAAAGTGGCCATCTATACACGCAGGCAATAGCCTAGAAGCACCTAGCGATGTCCCGGATGCATTTCAATCATTGGTTACCAGTGCTTGAGCTCAAGAGCCGGACCAACGGCCAACTTGTTTAGAGCTGATGCAAACAATTAAATAGATACAAAACGAGCCCTCCAGTATCTAACTATGAATTAATGCCACCAGCGACTAAAGGTCATCCGATCCCGCCTCCTAGTGAATGCAAAACGAGTAATTCGATTGTCAGTAGCCCATCAAACGATTCAAATGTTAAACATATATTAGATGAAATATTTCAATTGAACACTATTGATAGTATACCAAAATTATTTATTGTTTTGCCTGATTTAGAGTATACATACAATTCTAAAAATATTTGGAATAATAACTATCGTGTATATTTTGTTTGTGAATGTAATGAACATGTATTATATTTAACTAATCATGAAGGATACGTTTTACTTAATTCTAAAATGTTTTTTATCACTTATGGATGGTATATTCAAAGAATGATCATATTGGCTATTAAATGTGAAAACTATTTTACTAGTCCATTAACATTTCTAATGTCTAAAGAAGAATTTTCATCACATTCAAAAATAATGCAATCTACACTGACTATTATAAAAAATCATATAAAATCATTTCAATCATTAGATGATAAGGAATTTAAGCGATATTTTCATTTATCAAACACTTACATTGTATCATTCGCTAATTTATGTCGTATTGTAACAAAAAAGATACTATCCGTCGGGTATGCCGTAATCATTGCAGTACAAAAATCCACCATATAAATGAATTTCGATCAATTAATATAATAGTTGATCTAAAAACAAGTACTTTAATGTTAAGAGAATTTATTGATAATAAAGCGTTAAATCGTTTTTGTAAAATAATCGATGATGGATTTCATTTTTATAGACTATTTCTTGAAAGATGTATTGTTGGTGAAACATTCTTAGTTCAATTTATTGATGCATTACAAAAATCAAATATGAAATATTTAGATTTAGAAATTAATATGACTAAAGATTGTTTTAAAATGATAATGAAAATATTGAATACTATAAGAACAATAATTTATATTAATCTAAATTATTGTGATATATATCAGATAGATGGATCAATGATTATAAATTCATTAAAAGAAAATCAATTATTGCGTGTTCTTGATATTAGCAAGAACAAAATAGGTGATGCAGGTGCTCTAGCTCTTGCAGAATTATTAAATATATTAAATAGTTTAATGGAAGTTAATATGAATGGAAATGAAATAACATCAAAAGCTGGAAGTGAAATTGGAAAAATATTAAAAACAAATAGAACATTAATCAATATTGATCTTAGTTATAATAAAATTGATAATGATGGTATTTTAATTTTTGCTGATTTATTAAAAATAACTACAATATTGAAAATTTTTAATTTAAGTCATAATTGTTTTACAGATAAAAGTGCTATTGCTCTTATTGATGCATTAAAAGAGAATAATAGTATAATTTATCTTGATATAAACATCAATGATATAACCGATGATGTGGTCTTGGTGGAAAATATCGAAAGGAAAAATGTCGAAAAGGAAAATGTCGATAAAAAAAGAGCAAAACGTCGAAGAGGAAAATGTAGAAGAGCAAAATGTCGGAGCAAAATGCCGAACTTCGGCATTTTGCTCTTCTACATTTTCCATTCCATTTTGGCGCTAGAAACAGAACAGATTTTGCTTCTTTTCTATTGTTCTAACCGCCTGTTCTTCGTCGATACTAGCTTCTCTACTGTGAATTTGCAGACAAACAGAAATCTTGAAATGTATCTTGAGAAGAAATTGAGAAACAAAAAAATTGCGCTAAAAATTTATTTCTAAAAAAATAAGATAACTTTGAAGTCGGAGAGTCAGCTAAGAAACGTATAATTTAAAAGTATCTTTTTGTTAAGATATTTTGGTTATTTTTGTGACAAACTGTAAAAGTAAACGTACTTCATAAAACAAATCTTTGCTTTTGCCTCAATCTTGATTTGAGACAGAATTTTGATTATTAGTTAAAAATGAAGGCAACAAATGACTAACTTTGAAAAGGTTAGCCGTTTATGACAGAAGTTTTATTGTATTTGTGGATAGATTCGTCGTCTTCTAGATCGATATACTTTTATACTAAGTACAGTGATCCATTGAGAAATGTCCACTAAACCACCATAAGGTCCAAAAATATTCTTTTTCTATTTTTTCTGATAATAATTTTCAGTCACATTCGCCTGTTATTAAAGTCTGTCTCAAAAAAGAGCGAGCGGCTACCCAATAGTTAAGTAGACTTCACAAGCTACTCTGTTAACAAAGAGCAGCTTGATTTGCTTTTGCTTTTTTCTATCAATCGGACATCATGAACATCCCATATTATCTGTATGCCGATTTTGTGTACACATGAATATTTTTTAGGCATGAGTTTGTAAAACAAAAATGTAGAGCAGCATTTTTGCGTAATGTAAAACGGGAGTTGATGATAGTCAATCCTTTAATTTATTTTACTCCTATTACACTATGAAATAGAGCAGATTGATTCATGTACTTTTATTTATCGTTGGATTTTTCGATAGAATAACGAATGCATAGACATTCAATTCTTCTAAGACGCTGAAATCAATATTGTTATTAATTACTCCGTAGGATATGAATTGGATTAAACAGTTTTCGGCAGATGTAGACGCCTCTGCTCTTCTTGTGTTTCGCCGTTTTGTTATATCCTTTCGTGTTCAACAGTATGTTTTGATTTGTATCCTTGATTGAAAACCGTTTTTTTTCCTATTTTTCCGTTTCTCCTCATAATCTACAGGGAAGAACATTAAATTAGCTTTCCAACAACAGAAAGAAACAAGTTTCATGTAACTTGCATTTCTATACTTCGCTAGTTTTACATTTGAGAGCAGAGAGGCTCATCTTGTGCAGCCACTGGGATACTT